TCTTTCATCACCATAGGCTCTTGCTCATATGTTGTTTCATGAAATTCTTCTGTGTCTGACAATTCCTTTCGATACAATGACTCAGTATATTCTTTCAGTCTTCTTTTAATACTTCCTGGATCATTTAGTATTCCGCCTAAATCATCCTTGATAATATTGAATTAATATACCTACTTGTATTTACCCCCTCAGAGTTTATATACACTTAGGTTGTTTTCATTTTTAGATTATGTAAATAGTATTGCTATAAAGATTAATTTATAAATTTTTACATAGACATTTGGTTTTTCTTTTCCTTGAGTATCTACCTAACGTGGAATTTCTATTGAATAATTACCAGATTGTTTCCAGTGCAGCCGGACCATTTTACATTGTTAAGGGTTGTATATGACCTGATTTCTCCATATCCTCAGCAATACTTCTCATTACCTTTCCAGAAACTGTGATGCAGTACCTCAATGTGATTTACAATTCTTGGATGGTTAATAATTCAAGACCTTTTATAAACACCATTTCTGTGCTTGTCCTTCACATGTAGGTGGAGGGGGGAAAAGAAACTCAAGTTGCTAATGGGATTGTTGCATTTTGGAGGGTTAATTCTTGACACTGTCCAATGTTTTATCTTAGTTGTTTTTTTAAAAATTATACTAGTTTAATTACAAAGTTGAATACATTGTTTTTCACACCAGATTCTTCCAATTTCCCTCACTCCCTCATCCATCAAATTGTACAACTCCAAGATTAATTCCCCCCTTACACATCCTCATCCCTTTACTTCCACCCTCCCCCTTGGATTCTTATACTCATTCTACAATAATGAGATTTTTTGTGCCATAAAACAGATATGCTTTTCAAACCTACATCCTTCTCTACATCAGTGCTCTCTAGAACTCTGCTTTGCCTGTTCCCCTTCAGAACTCCAGAGCAAGTACTGTCTTAACTAAGTCATGAGTAATGTCAGGACCAGAAATCAAGACCTTCAAGAAAATGAAGAACACTCCCAAAACCTCATGAAATTCAATCAAATAAATGCACATCAACCCTGAACCCTCATCTCTCAAGTAATTAACTAATTCATTGCCATCGAGTCAGAACCAACTCATAGCTGGTTCTCCAGTGAGTTTTCAGAGGCTGTGAATCACACAGGAGAGGACTGTCCATCTTTCTCCTGGAGTAGTTGGTAGATTTGAACCAACCACCTTTGGGTGAGGAGCAAAACTCCCTACTCACTAGGCCCCCAGAGCAGATCAGAACTTCACAGGCTTCAGTCATCTGTGATTTTTCTAGCAATAAAATTCACCCAGAAGTGTCCCAGAGACAGAAGAAGATGATCACCTCATTGTGTGCTGGGAAAATATAGTTGCCAAGAACTTAATGAGTCCAAGAGAGAATTAATTGTCCTTCATTTTTAGGTTTTCATTCAGTCCTTTGCTTCTGAGTTGTGTTTAAACTCAGAGAAGTCCCAGAACAGCTGTTTTTGGAAAGATTAGATGGATACTCCCAAAAGTCAGTACACAGGTGTTTATAAATGGCCACCTTAGAGAAATTAATTCATGGAGAGACCAAAGAAAGGGTTGTTTTGGTGTGGGTTTGGTTGTTTTGTTTTGTTTTTTACTGCTGACTTAGGCAATGAGTATATTTTAGCAGCTCCTAGAACTGCAAAGATTCT